AACCATGCATTGGTGGGAGGGGGTTCAACGAGGGCTAGCCGTAACCATGGGATTTCAGGGGAAGAGTTTTTTGTGACTAAGGCCAGAAGGTGTTTGTTCTTGATACTTGAGGCGGAAATATGATCTTGTCCAGGAATCAAGGCAAAGGACCATCGCAAGGTAGATGCTCGGAAATTCCTGGGTAAGGAGGAAGCTGAAGCTACGGCCCAAGTTGACGGCTGTGGAAGTTTCTCCATAAGTTGACGAGCTGAGACTCGGTAGCTTGTAACTCTGTGGCCTCGCAAGAAATTCGCCAAGTTGGATTCTGTGGGTATAGCGTTGAGTTTTCGTCGGAAATCCGCCAGCGATACCATGCCTTGTGAGACGTAAAGTCTTGATGTACGAGTTGCGGCCAGTAGGTTGATACTCGAGAGGTTGCCAGCCAACGTGGTGTCTAACCATAATGGAATGTGGATCTTCGAGTAGGCATCTTGAAATTTGGTTCGTCGGGGGGCCAGATAGTCGTGCCAATTTCGCAAAATGGAGTACCAAAATCGACCAAGTAGGAGTAGGGCGCTGGGGCTCCGAGCCTGTGGTGCAATTGGAAGGAAAAGAATGTCCATTCCATGGCCCGCAGGTGAAACCACTTGGTGCATAAGATCCACAATAGGGTCCAGCCATGGCAGCACTGTTTCGGAGTTGCCTTGGAGAGTGAGGATATTCAACACGGTGCGCAAGCGAAGAACTTTGATACTTGTAGCTATGTGCGGAACTCCGAGGCCTCCCTTGGAACGCGAAAGATAAATCCAGGCTCGAGGAAGGTGGTTGACCACTAGACCTTGTTTGTGAAGGCGGCCATAAACAAATGCCAGGGCTATCTTGTCGATTTCTTCGATGACGGAGTCGGGAATATGACACACAGCAGCAGTGTACCAAAGTAAGGGAAGCACCATAGTTTGCAAGATGACCACACGCCCTTGCAAAGTTCTTGCTCGGTATTTCCAGAGGTTGCAACGACTGAGGACCCCTTGCACGATGGAGCGATACCGGTCTTCATCAGTGAGGTCCGGACCTTCTTGAATTCCCAGCCAACGACATTTTTGACCTCGTTGAATAAATTTGGGGCCTTGGAGTTGTGATATGGCGGCTTCAAGTGCATCGGGGTAATCTGGGCAGAAGGGCATGACGATAGTTTTGTTGACATTGAGCTTCATTCCCGTTGCTGCGCAAAAATCTTGGACACAGGCTAAGAAGAGCTGCGTATCTTCGAGAGAGTGAAGTAGGCCAGTGACGTCGTCAGCAAAGGCTATCGTGAGGTGGGATGCTGATGGCGTGGACAGTCCCAGATGTGGAATCCGATGTCGTAAATAAACCAATAATGGTTCAATGAAAAGCACAAAGAGTGCTGGCGATATTGGGTCACCTTGGCGGACACCGCTGCCCAGCATAAAAGGTTCCAAGGGCGAGGAGTTGAATAAAATCGACACCTCGGTGTCGGCAAACAATGTTTCCATCCACGAGCAATAGTTGGGTCCAAAACCAAAATGTTCGAGGGTTTGAAGCAGAATTTGCCGAGAGACTGTGTCAAAGGCTTTGGCAAAATCGCACATGATGGCTCCCGCTTGAGTAAGGTTGTTTTCCTGACACCATCGCTGAAGGCCGTGAAAGCGTGTGATGGCGTGTTGGATAGAACGACCAGGTGTGAAGCCATACTGATCCGATCCAAGGAGGGAAGGTAGGATCGCATTCGTGCGTTTTGCCAAAATAGCAGGCGCTAGCTTTGCCACGACGTTGAGCAGGGTTAAGGGCCTGTAGTTCGAGTGTAGGTCTTTGGAGCCACTTTTAAAAAGCAGGGACAGGGATGCTTTTCGTTGCAGGTTGGTCATACGCTTCCGTGAAAAATTGAAAGCATGTACGATCGCCAATAGGGTACCCCAAAGCTCAGGATTGACTTGAAAGTATTCGTAAGGCAGTCCGTCCGGGCCAGGAGCTTTGTTTTTAGGGCCAGCTTGGATTGCACTTGAGAATTCTTCCTGGGATAGGGGGTATTCCAGAGATTCCCTTTGATCGTCCGTGAGGCGAGCAGACGTGTGCTGGAGTATTTCCCGGTGAAGGGAGGGATCCACTGCTTGCGGGCTTGTATCAAGGCCACTTGTAGGTGAATGAAAGATATTCGCCCAGTAACGTCGGCAAGCTGAGGATTTTAAGTCCCAGTCGGCAGAGTCCCTGACAGGAAAAGTGCTAGCTTGCTGTCGAGGAACTGGAGGCTTGAAGAAAGTGCTAGAGCATTTTTCTTGGGACTTGATTTGCTCGCGAAAGAGATCCAATTCGTTGCGGTCTTTGATGCTACGAAGTGTGTCTTGTAGATTGAGCTTAGCAGTTTTTAGTTGAGACGCCAAAAAGCTGCTGGGTGTTGCCTCTAGAGCCGTGGTGAGTTCAGCAACTCGAAGGCGAAGCCGATCGCATTCCTTGCGGTCACGGTCATGGTTGGCCGATACTATCGATTGGAGGTACATCTTGTCATGAAAAAGATGATCGTCCAAGACTTTGGCAGGATTGAAACCGGGGGTTCCTTGCGGTAATAGTCCAGCCAGAGTGCACTTCAAGGAAAAAGTGAGATGTTGCTTGACCTCTGGGAGTTGGAGTACCCAGGGTGGGCAGCGCCATGGGGCTTTTTTCTTGGGTTTGTATGAGTCGACGGCCAAGGAAAAGGAAATTGGAGCATGATCGTTGTGGAAGAATGCTTGATACTTGTCCACATGATATCGGATCGACAGCAGGTTTTCTTGATGGAAAGCGCCAGATAGGAAAACAAAGTCGATGCGATTGGAGTGAGTTGGGTTGGAATAGACTCGGGAGTCTGGATTCAGTAGTCTCCAGGAGTCAACAACGCTCAGCGAAGACATCCAACATTCCAATTCATCAAGGCCGGTCGGTCGACGGTGGGAGTGAACGACCTTGTCCAGAGTAGGGTCCAAGACAAGGTTGAAATCACCACAGATAATGTGGCGAGTATTTCCATCAAAGTCCGTGGGTAAAGCAGCAAAAAATTCTGCTTTCCGCGTGTCGTCACCCGTGAGTGCATAAACAACGTGGATATAGACCGAGATGTCGTCCAAGGTCCCTTTAACCACGAGATAGCGGTTGCGAGCGATCTCAGGTAGGGTGAGTGGAGTAACATCCAGGAGGTCTTGAAGGGGGCAAGACTTGGAAAAGAGCAGAGCACAGCCATTTCGGCGTTCGAACTTGTTGCAGCATGAATTGGACCAAAAACTAGATCCAGAGGCATCGGTTTTGGACCAATTAAGGGCGGTCATGCGCAGCATGTCTTCTGACGAGATGTGTGTTTCTTGGAGGGCAATGAAATCGTATCGGGAAAGGGGAAAGAAGTCGTGTGGTGTAGTGTTCGCTAGGCCATTGGCATTAATGGAAAAACCATTAAGTGTCCAATTATGGGCTGGAGCATACACTTGTCGATGCCAGTGCTTCGAAAGCAGCACTGAAAGGCCTCATGGTGGCAGATGAGAGCATGACTTTCCCCAGGTCTGAGGTCACCCAGTCAGATAGGGTATCATCAGACCATAAAAGCAGCTTCGTGCAATCGAGGGACACCAGATTGAGTGTTTGCGTTGCATGGGCCACTTTGACAGGGTCAAAGTAAATCGATGGGGCCGATATCATCGCAAAAAGGTCCCATAACGCAAGCTGGATGTGTTGTTGCCCAGTAAAAGCTGGGGTTTCTTGCGAACACAGTCGATCCAGCGCAGCTGCTGGTGAGAGGGTGTCACCCATGGTATCTTCGAACAGGCTGCAATAGTCGTCCAGGACTTGGGCTATGGGTAGGTTTTTTCCATCGACTTTGAAAGCGTCAGGCTTGGAGTTGTTGAGCAGGCGGCACAAAGCATGGCTGGTGGCTTTACTGACCCAGTAATCTTCCATGCGGGGATTCGTAAGCGCAGGCCGAAAGAAAGAAGGCTGGGCCTGAATTGCTTGGAGAAAATCGTCGCCATATTGCATGTCTTCCAAGGTTTGGGCACAGAATTCATTGACAAGCGAATTCAGGGCTTCCTTGGAAATGTTGTCGACATGAAATGGGCGGGCGAGTTTCTTCAACAAAAGCTTGGAGTTGGGTTTTGAGACCGTTGGGCTGATTCCAAGCGTTGTGGGTGAAAGAAAGACCTTGAGATCGTAGTCTGGTACTCCCGCTTCCGATTCCATGGTCAAAAGCTCGTAGCGATTTAACAGGGGGACTGTCCAGTGACGTAAGGACGTAGGATGGTCCACCTGGGACTTGATTTGGACTTCAACTGTTTCCAAGTCTTCCGTCGGTACCGGAGAAAGCCGAGACTTGATTTTCTTGTGCCAAGCGGATGGTGAATCTTTGTTCGTAGGCAGAGATACTTGGGAAGCAGGCTCTGCAACGGTAGCTTGCGCTGGCGTTGGTGAGGGGTGGCGAGATTTTGTT